TGTGAATACTTACAGTATACCGTGCACCAGTTAGAAATGAGAGAGACTTGCTCTCGTATGATCGAGCCGGATGAAAGAAGATACGAATGTTGTATGCAATATCAAGTATATTCTGTCGCTTTAGAGACTCTGGTCAACATGAAACAATTAAAAAGAGTTAACCAATTAAGAATAAAACTAATGGAAAATGATCTGCTAACTTTAATAACAAAACTAGACGAAGTTTTATCAAATCCAAAAATAAAGTGGAAATAAATAAATATTTAAATAATACACACATACGAAATTAATTAAATAATACTTTTAATGATATTTTAATATCAAATTTGGTTTTTATTTCTTTTCTTATAGTTGATTACATATACATTCCTCTATCATTTCTCTTATTGACTAAAGCAATCATATTTTTATATTGAACTTTAATATCATTGTCGTTAGTTGAAAATAATTTTGGATAAAGTGATTTAAGAATTGGTGCAAAAGATTGAACACTATCAATATTTAAGTTTAGTTCATATAAATTTAAAATTGAACAAGCTTGGATATTATTAACTTGGCACTGAAAAAAAAAAAAGAAAATTAATATACAGATATAATTTATAAGCATATTTTAATTATTAAATTTACCAGTGTTAAAAATGAAGCACTTAAATTTTCGATAATATTTGGTGACTCTAATGGAATAAGTGAACAATTCTGTGTGTATTAAAAAATAATTAGTATCTGGAAATAAAGCTTTAACTTTTGATATTGATAAAGATAATTACATTTTCAAAATTTGATGTATAAACAGCTCTAACAAATGGTGGAATTGGGTGAGTATGGTCTTGAGAAAGATAATGGGAATTTAATAACTTGTCTAAAATAACAACTTTTTTTACTTGATTAAATGCATTTAAAACTGATTCAGAAAAACTAAAACATCTTTCACTTGGTAAATCATAACCTAAAACAATGAAAGCAATAGATTTTTCTTCTTTATGTCTATAAACATTACATTTATTATTTAAAATATTTGATGTAGTTTTAATTGGTTTCTAAATAAATAATAATAATAATATTAATATTGATAATATTGAATAGTAATAAGTTTATTTATGGTCTTATACATACAATATCATCATATACAATTTCTGCAATTTCATCAAATAATGCATCAAAATTTGATCTAATGAAAATTGATGGTGAGTTTTTAGTTGATATAATTAAATCTGTAATATTTGAAAGATCATTTTTTGGAAATGATTCATTAAATAAAATTGATGGTTTTGGGATTTCAACTGGTTCGAGATTTTGGTCTTCTTCCTCTTCAATTTCCCAATTTCTTGATCTAACTGGCTGAATATCAAATCCAAACATTTCTTTCTTTTTTTTTTAAAAATATATAAACAAAATAAATTTAATTAAAAATAATGAAAAAAAAAAAAATTTTAATTTATGAAAAAATTTCAAAAAATAGTGAAAAAAAAAAAAAGAATTTAAAAAAAAATATATTTTAAATGATCAAAAAAAAAAAAAAAAAAAAAAAGATCATTATTATTATTATTATTATTATTATTTATATACATAAAAAAATAATAAATAAATCGGAAAAAAGTTTATTATTTTTTTAATTTAATTGAAATTGATCTATATTGAACCTATTTCATTCATGAAATCATCAAAGCCCTCGTCTACTTCTTCGCTAGTTGGTTCTATTTCGGTTTTTGATATGGTGGTTGTTTCTGTTGATGTTTTCATTTCTGTTTTAGTTTCTGTTGTAGTTGTGGTTGTGGTTGAAGTTGTGGTTTCTGTGGTTGGGGTTTTTGTTGTTTCTAAATTTGTTGATTTTTTTGATTTCTTTTTATTAGTTGAACCTTTTGGATTTGGAACTAAAAATGATGGGATTGGTGGAGGTGGCATAAAACCCAATGGTGGAGGTGGCAAAAGTCCTAAAGGTGGTGGGGGTAAATTATTAGTATTGGGTTGTGGTGGTAATTTCATCATTAAATGTGGCGGTGGGGGAACACCCATTGGTGGTGGGCCCTTCATTAAATATGGGGGTGGTGGTGGGACGAATCCCATTGGTGGCGGTGGGGTAAATCCCATAGGTGGAGGTTTATTAAACATTGGTGGTGGCATATTATTATTATTTACAGGTGGTATATTATTATTTTGGGCAGCTGCGGGTTTTTTTCTTATGTTTGGGGCGCCTGGAGGTGGAATGCCATATGGATTTAATATTGGATCATAATAAATTGATTCTTCAGGTGGTCCATATTTCTTTATGGCATCCTCCAATAACTTATCTTTTAGTTTTGAAGCTTGAACAGCTTCTTTTACAACAAAATCATCCTCCTCCTCTTGATCCTCATCTTTCTTTTTTAATAAAATATCTAGAGCACTTTGAATTTGTTTTTTTTTTATTTTATTCTTTTCAGAATTATCTAATTTTCTTAATTCATTTTGTAAAGTTTTTGGATCTTGTTGTAAATATTGTTTTTCTTGAATTTTTAATTTATCTTGTTGATGCTAAAATTTATAAATTTTTTAATAAAATTTAATATTAGTATAAAATAAAAAACAAGTTTAATGAATTATACAATTACTTTTTTAACTTCTTTTTTTTTAACATCTTTTCTATATGCTTCCATTGGATTTATTTGTTTTTCTTTTTTACCCATTTTATAATTATTATTATTATTATTAGTATTAATCTATTTTCACTTTTTATGTTTTATAATTAAAAAAAATTTGATAATTAAATGAATATTGAATCAATTATTATAAATGATCGGGCAAATTAAATTGAATTAAAAATATGAAAATATGAAAAAAAAAATGAAAAAATAAAATAAAAATTAAAAAAAAAAAAAATAAAAAAAAAATATAACAGTAAATTAAAAAATAATAAAATTTAAATTTTTCATTCATTATCGTAAAAATCTCCTGCTAATAATCATTATGATAAAAATAATATTAAATAATGTATATATCAATTTTCTAAAAACATATATTCAAACTAATATGAAGCAAAAGAAAAATATAAATATATAAATTTTAAAATAGAATAATATAAATTAATAAATTAATAAAAATAATAGTATTAGTAACAGTATCTAAAACAATATATAAAAAAATATATGAAAAAAATAAAAAACCCAGTTTTATCTAAATATACCCATAGAATTCGAAATAAATTCAAAAGAACGAGAAATAATACCAATAGAAATAATAATAATAATATTAACGACAATAATAATAATAATAATAATAATGAAAACATTAGCAGCAATATAAGCGATAAAAGCAGTGGTGATAGTAGCAGTGATAGTAGCATCCTTCATAGAACAGTTCACAATGCCCATCACAATGCAAATGATTATAGTGACGAAGAACAAAGCGATGATAGCGAAAATAGCGAAAATAGTGAAAATAAAGGGAATATCGAATTAAAGAAATTAAAGAAATTAAAAAAGAATAAAAACCTGCAGGATATAGATTTAAGCTTATTACTTCAAGATGAAATTTATGATCAAGTCGAAGAAGATGTTTTAAATACACTATTAGAATATACAACTGAAGAAGACCTTAAAAAGTTTAAAAAATACTTAAGGAAAAAAGAATTAAGATCTTCAAAATCAACAGAAAAGGATCATAATGAATCAGATGAATATTCAATAGAAAGCGATAAAAGTATTGAAAGTGAAGAAAGTGAAGAAAGTGAAGAAAGCGATAAAGAAGAAGATAAAGATCTACTAGAGTTATCACCATTTTATTATGAAGATGACTATGGTTTTCATGAATATTCTGATGATTTTAAATTAAATATAGAAGATATCGAATCAAATAGACAGGTATTAAACGAATCACTAGCAAATTCGGTATTAAGGAGGAAACCATCAAGACTATCAAAATCAACTTCAATATCCAGCACCAAATCACTGCCTATTACTAAAAGTGTTAGATCACCAATATCATTATCACCACGTATAGAATCATTACCGACAACACCCATACTATCACCAAAGAAAAAACCAAGCACTGTGCCTACTCCTACCGCTACTGCACCAACAACACCAAATTTAAGGGAATCAATAAAGAGAAAGGCTAAATTATATTTAATTCCCCCGAAACTATTAATGCAAATGGATGATGTCGAAATGATTAAAGAGGATATTTGTGCAACCGATCGTTCATTAGCTGGATATATTAGAACTGGACTATCGATCACTGGTTTGGGTGTTGCCGTTCTGTCGAGAATAGGTGTAACAACCAAAACACTTATTGGTAAATATCTCATCAAAACAATGACAAAAAAAAAAAGCATTTAATACTAACCCCTCTGTTTTTTTTTTAATTTAGTATCAATAATATTTTTCGCCTATGGTATTTCATTAACAATTATTGGCATAAGAAGAAACAAAGTACTCTCAAACTATTTAAAAAAGGGATATATGAAACCATCGATTATTTCAGTTATTTTAGTTACATTATTAACATTTGTTATTATTGGCTCTTCATATTATGTAATTGCCTAATAAAAAAAAGCATTATTATTATTATTACAAAATTAAACTATAATTGTTTTACTTTATTTTTATTTTTATTTTTATTTATTTTTTATTTTACAAAATTTAAATTTGATAAATCTGAAACTTCGAAATTGTGATCTTTTAACCATGTTTTACTATATAATCTTGATGTGTAACGATGACCGGAATCACATAAAACAGTTACAATAGTTTTACCAGGACCTAGTTTACGAGCCAATTTAACTGCACCAACACAATTAAGAGCAGATGAACCACCTAAAAATAAACCGTCATGTTTTAACAAATAGTGAGCCATATCGATACCCTCTTCTTCTGTGCCACGATAAGCACCATTTAGAGATGCTTTATTAAAGTTTTCAGTTTTTCTGTTGACACCAACACCTTCGTAAAATGAACGTGGTCCCAACTTTTCAACGACCAATCTATCTTTTGGATGAAAAATAACACCAGTGTTAACTAAACTATAAAGACCAGAACCTGGTGGGTCGATTAACCAACATTCGATTGAAGATTTACGTGATTTCAAATAACTAGATATACCTGCTACAGTTCCTCCGGTACCTGCTGCTGCAATAAATCCATCAATATCACCACGAGTTTGTTTCCAGATTTCTGGACCTGTACCTGTGTAGTGAGCACTGAAATTTGATAAATTATCGAATTGATTTGCATAGAATGCTGTAGAGTCACCTAAACAACGTTGATATGCACAATGCATGAAATGATTTGCATTATTCATTCCTACAATGAGTACTATTTTAGTTTCGGCGCCTAACATTTCCAAAGCTCTACTTTTTCTTTTGATACATTATCTGGTATGAATAATTGAACGTTATATCCTCTAGATTTACCCAACATTGTTAACGATATACCTGTACTACCTGCTGTTGCTTCAACAATGGTTGATCCTTCTTTTAATAATCCACTCTTTTCGCCATCTAAAATTATTGATTTTGCAACTCTATCCTTTGGACTACCACCCGGGTTCATAAATTCTGCTTTTCCATAAATCTAAAAAAAAAAGTAAAATTATTATTAATGTCAATAATAATGTATGTATACATTAGCATATATGTCAATTTTTTTACCTACCTCACAACCAGTTGCTTCAGATAATGACTTTATTCTAATTAATGGTGTATTACCAATGGTATCAATAATACCATTAGAAATACCACTGTGATATACTGTATTTATTTCATTTTGAACTTCTTCTTCCTGTTGTTCTTGTGGTTGTTCTTCTGAATTAAAATAATTTGAAAAATATGAAAACATTTTACAAAAATAAAAATAAAAATAATAATAACAATTTAAAAGATATTAATGTAATTATGTAATTGTGGATTCGTTTTTTTAATTTAATTTAAAATTTTAAAAAAAAAAAATTAAAAAAAAAATAAAAAAAATAAAAAAAAAAAAAAATTAAAAAATAAAAAAAAATAAAAAAAAAGAAAAAAGATAAATATACTAACAAATAAATAAGATAATTATCTTATTTAAATCATTGCCTAAAATTATTAAAATTATTAGAATATTATTTAATTAATTTTAAATATTTTTATTTTTTTTAATTTTTTTTTAAAAAAAAATTTTTGTTTATTTCATTTTTTCATTTTTTTTTTTTTATAAATTATTATTTTTAAACAATTTAGTTTAATTAAAGTTTAATTTTAAAATGTCGACAAATAAAAGAAAAAGGATGTTTTCAAAAGAATGTATGTAGTTTATTTATTTATTTATCTTTAACAAAAAAAAAAAAAAAACAATAAACTAATTTATTTCAACATGTTCATTTATTTTAGTGAAACATATGATGTATGGTTTTGGGGATGTAAGAGAACCATTACATGAATCTATAGACTTATTAGAAGAATTAGTATTCGAATTTATTCAAGAAATGACATTAAAAGCAGCCCAAGTTTCAAATAAAAGAGGCAAATTCCAAACAGAGGATTTAGTATTTTTAGTTAGAAAAGATCCAAAGAAGTACTACAGAGTTATTGAATTATTAAGAATGAATGAAGAATTAAAGAAAGCCAAAAAAGCATTCGACGATACAAATATTGAAGAAGAGGAACAATAATAACTATAATATTCACCACCACACCTATATTATATAATTCCCTTTACCATTTTACCTTTTAACACTTTACAATTTACCATTTCACCATTTTACCATTTATCACCTTACTATTTACCAAATCACCATATAATAACGATTTACAATATACCGATTTAATTTTTAATGGCCATCATCCAAATTACTTTAATAACCGCCCCAACCTCTTTTTAACTTAATTTTATTTTATAAAATATTAATCATAAATTCAACTGACAAATCAAAACCATATTATATTCACCATAAAACACTTGTATCAACTACAAAATCGTTATATTCAATTTCAATTTCCCACCCACCAACAATCTTAACAGCAATAATATATGTATATACCAATTATAGAACTTTTTTTTTCATTTATTTATTTTTTCTTTTTTTTTCAAAAATTAATTTCTTGTGTATATAAAAAAAAAAACCTTATAAAATCTCATAATCAAAATCATCATTGTTATTTAACAAAAATAATAAAATCATTATACATACAATCTAAATAATAAATTTACCGCTATTTTCAAATAATTTTTGGTTTTAATAAAAAAAATCTTATAAAAATTACTATCTCTATCATTTACAATAAATTCATTTTAATTTCAAATAAAGATTTTTTTTTTGTGATGATTTGTTAAAAAATTTTGGAAATATAGATATTTCAACAAATTTTTTATTAATTTTATAGATAAAAAATAAATAATTATTTTATTTTTATAATTTATATTTTTTTTTTGTTTTTAAAAAAAATATCCATTTTTCTATTTTTATTAAAAATAATATATAATTTATTATTTATTTTTTTATAATAATAATAATAATATTTAATATAATAATTTTTTAAAATTTTAATCATTCTACTACAGCATTCATCACACCATAAAACAAATAACTATAAATATATAAAATATAAAATTTAAAATATAAAATATAAAATTTAAAATATAAAATATAAAATATAAAATATAAAATTAAAATAATAAATATAAAAAATAAAAAAAAAAAAATAAAAAAAAATAATGGAAAGTTTAGGAAGTGAAACTTTTTTAAATATTGGTAAAACAGAAATAAATAATAATAATAATAATATAATAAGCAGTAATAATGAAATAGACAATGATGTCAGTGAATATAATAATATGACAAATATGGAAAGTCAGTATAGCTTCGATAGTGAACACGATGACCATTCAAATGACTATTTATTTTTTCAAATTTGGAGAAATGCGTTAATAAAAGAAAGAATTGTCAAACACCTAATGATCTATAGAATCGTTCAAAAATACAGCAAAACGACACAATATTCATTTAATCACGATACATTGAAATGCTTCAAATATAGAGACTACTTAGAAACGATGCATTATCAAATCAACAGCTTTTTATATGACCCATTTGAATTGGAAAGATTATCAAGATTAGAAATTGAAAGAGTAGTTACAAGAAAAAGACAAGAATCTCAAGATTATATACAACTACATCAACCTTTAATTATTGATAATTTATTAAATGATGAAGTAATCATTGATGAAGAATCCAATATCCCTGATACTGTCACCAAATTGTATTTCCATGATAATAGTTGCATACCAATGTACTTCTTCCCAAATTCAATTAAAACTTTAATTTTTGGATACAATTTTAATAGTCAAATTAATAAATATGGTAAGCCATATACATATATTGACTATTTATTCTTAATATTTTTCAAATGCTAATTTCTATTTTTTTTTTATAAACTCTAGTTTTACCAAACTCTTTAACATCATTAGAATTTGGAAGGAACTATAATGAATATTTAGTTGATGGAGCATTACCAAACTCATTGAAAGTTATTATTTTTGGGAAATCATTTAACAAAAAAATTCAATTAGGTCATCTTCCAAACTCGGTAATTAAAATTCAGTTTAAAGATTCTTTCAATGAAATTATTGAAGACTTTTCGTTACCATCAAATTTGAAAGCTCTTCAATTTGGGTTCAAGTACAATCAAGCACTTAGCAAGGGATTGTTTGCAAATATTTCAAATTTAACCTATTTAGAGTTTGGTAAATGTTTCCAACAACCAATAGACCCACAGACATTACCTCAGACATTAACCTATTTAAAATTTGGTTCGTACTATAACCAACCATTAGAAATTGGCAGCTTACCAAAATCATTAAAAACTCTTAAACTATCATTCGAATATAATCAAGAAATTAAAGATAATGTTTTACCAGTGGGTTTAACTGCTTTATCCTTTGGGTTTCACTATAATAAGCCATTACCATCAACCCTTCCATCTTCACTCACATTTTTAAAACTATCTTCTCAATTTAACCATAGAATTTCAAATGAACTGCTCCCAGAGAAAAACCTAAGATATTTACTTGTTGGGGATAAATTTAACCATCCAATCTCAAAATCAAATATTGGTGAATCATTAGAAACTCTTGTACTCGGTGAAGCTTTTAACTCCTCATTATTAGATGTGCCAACAACATTAAAACAATTAACAGTTGGTTCTAATTTTCATAGATTAATCAATCCAAATCTAACAAATTTAACTTTTTTGTCATATCAAGGTAAATATTTAAAAATTAATTTATTCACACAGAAAAAAAAAAAAATTGTGGGGTAAAATAATATCATGATCATAATAATAATAATAATAATAATAATAATAATAATATTAAAAATTATTGTTATATGATACTATTACCCATTAAATTCTTGATATGTTAATTTTATTTAAATCTATAAATTTATTAATTTTAATTTATTTATCCCAATTTATTTATTTTTTTATATTTATTTATTTAGGCACTATTTTGACTGATAACAATTTAGAAATTTGTAGTTTTATTAAAAGTAAAAATAAAAATAATAAAAAAAGTCGTAAAGATAATTGTTTAATATGTTAAATAAATATAGATCTTTTAAAAACTTGTGTATTAGTGTATATCAAAAAAAAAAAAAAAAAAAAATTTATTTTATTTATTTGTTTGTCTTTAGAAAAAAACATTAAGTGTTAAAATAAAAAATAATCTGTTCAAAAGGTATGTGTTTATTTTTTCTTTTTTCAATTTTTCACACAAATGCGTCATCAAAGAAATTTTTTTATATTTTAAAAATAATTATTTTTAATTTTTTTTTTATATTTAAAAAAAAAAAAAAAAAAAATTTTTAAAAAAATTTTTTTTTTGTGTTCAAATTTTTAAATTTTTAATATTTATTATCATTTAATTATCTTATTCTAGTTTTTAATTAAATAAAATAAGATAGAAATAAAAAGATGGATTTAGCAGGCGCAGTTGAAAGTTTCAAAAATTTAAAAATGGATTTAACCCTTCCAGATACTGGTTTATTAATTGCATATTTTGCAATTTGGACAATGGCCATTATCCCAATTTATATTGGTTCATATTTATCATTAAAAGAAACTAAAGTAAGAAAAATTAAAAAAATAAATAATATAACAAAACAAATAGAATATATAGAAGTAATTGTGTGTGTAAAAAATTTATGAAAAAACTAAAAAAAAAACATTACCCACTTTCAAAATATAAATAATAATAAAAAAATCATTACCCACCTTAAAGATCCACAGTAATAAAAATAACATATCAATCAATAGATCCATTATAAATAAATAATCATTTAAAATAAATTATAATAATAATAAAAAAAACAATAAACAAGAAACTAACCAAATTACGTTATTTTTATAGAATGAATCAATGAGTAAAAGCGACGCCTATACTTTCCCAATCGTTGGTAGTATATTCCTTTTTGGACTTTACCTTTGTTTCAAATATTTCGATAAAGATTTAGTCAATACAATTCTTCAATATTACTTTTTAATTATTGGTACCTTTGCAATGACAGGTGTTTTAAGTACATTATTTAGATATTTAGCTGGAAGCAACAATAACACTAAAGAACCAAAGAAATCATTAATTTCATTCAAAATTCCACACATCAAATATGTTCTCGATGCAAAAGATGTAAATATCGATATTCCAGATATTATTGCTTTCTTAATTTCAGCTGCCTTTTCAGTTTGGTACATTAAAACTAAAAACTGGATTGCCAATAATATCTTTGGTCTTACTTTTTCAATTCAAGGTATCAGTCTTATTAGTTTAAGCGAATATTCAGTTGGTGTAATTTTATTAGTAAGTAATTCGAATCACACAAATATTTAAATAGATACAACAGAAACTAATTTTTAATTTTTTTTTTTTTTTGTAAATAGGTTGGTTTATTCTTTTATGATATCTTTTGGGTATTTGGTACAGATGTTATGGTCACTGTCGCCAAAAGTTTCGATGCCCCAATTAAATTACTTTTCCCAAAGAATATCTTTGCTGAAACTTTCCAATTCTCAATGTTAGGTTTAGGTGATATTGTTTTACCAGGTATTTTCATTGCCTTACTTTTACGTTTCGATAGACACCTTCACCAAGAAAAAAAAACCAAAGGTAAAGGTCCAATGAAAACCACTTATTTCTCAAGTACTTTAGTTGCTTATGCTTTAGGTTTATTCACCACAATTTTCGTTATGCACGTTTTCAAAGCTGCTCAAGTAAATATCAAAATAATTTTTTTATAGTAGCAAACATTCCTTTTAAAGATATTAATTTTTTTTTTTTTCTTTTTTTTTCATCATAATAGCCTGCTTTATTATATTTAGTTCCATTCTGTGTTGGTTCATCATTACTTGTTTCTGCCGTTAAAGGTCAATTCAAAAAATTAATTTTCTCAAATTTAAATGAAGAAGCCACTGCTTCAACTTCAAAGAAAACAAACTAATTTATATAATATTTTTATTTAAATAAAAAAAAAAAATTAAAAAAAAATAAAAAAGAAAATTTTTAAAAAAAAAAGAAAAATTATAAGTTTTTTAAACATACTAAGAAAAATCTACTACAATTTTTTTTTTTTTTTTTTATTCATCATAAACTTTTTTCAGTTTTTTTTTTATCATTATTATTTTAACAGCAAACAAGAAACAAGGAATAATACTAAAGTAAATATATAAGATACCCATCTAAAAAGTAATAGTTATATTTTTTTTATTTTTTTTTTTTATTTTTTTTTTATTTATTTAAAATTTTTTTTTTTTTAAATATCTTTTTTTTTTAAAAATTTTTTTTTTAACCAATAACTGTTATTTTTTTTTTTTTAATTGTGTTTATAATATATATTTTTTTTCATTGTATTAATAATTATTTTATTTATATTTGTTAGATTAAATATTTTTTTTCAAAATTAAACAATGCCACCAAAAAGAAAAATAACCCAAAGTGACGAAGGAGATAATACTTCAACCACTGCCAAAAATTTTTTTGATGGTATTATATTTTCATTTTCAGGCACATTCTCAGTTACACAAAGTGAATTAATTAAAAAAGTTGAAAACCATGGTTCATCTACTGCTAAAGGTGTTACATTAAAGGTTACTCATTTAGTTTCAACAGCTGAGGATTTCAAGAAGAATAGTGCATCAGTTCAAAAAGCCAAAAAACAAGGAATCTTTATTGTTAGCGAACAATTTATTCACAAATGTATTGAAGCTTCAAAAAAATTAGACGAAAAAGATTTTATTATTTCAGATAGTGATGATGCAGAAGATGAAGAAGAAGAAGAAGAGGAGGAAAAGGTTGCACCACCACCAAAGAGAGGTTCAAAGAAAGCTGCTGCTAAAAGAGGTAAAGAGCCAGAGCCAGAATCTGAAGAGTCTGAAGAAGATACCAATAAACTTACAACTCGTTCAAAAAAGAAAACAAAAAATGTTGATGAATCAAAATCTGAAAAATCAAATACCACAGAAGAGTTCTCATCCGATATTGAGGATTCAGATGACGATAGCAATAAAGTAACCGTTAAAGTCCATGGTAGAGCTGCTGTTGATATGCACTTCCCAGATAAAAATGTATGTATATAGAAATTCTATTGTTTTTGGTTTTATTTAATTATTATTAATTATTAATTTTTATTTTATTTAGTATCATGTATATGATGATGGTAAAGATGTATATGACGCAACACTCAATCAAACTGAAATTGCTCAAAATAACAACAAATTCTATATTATTCAAATTTTAGAGTCAGATAATGGTCAAAACTATACCGTTTGGAATCGTTGGGGTAGAGAAGGTCTCAAGGGTATAGGAAAGAGATTCGACTATTCAAAAGCAAATCTCCACGCTGCAATTAGTTTATTTAACGAGAAATTCTTTGAAAAAACCAAAAATCCATTCAATAACAGAAAGAATTTCAGGAAAGTAGCTGGCAAGTACGATTTAATTGAATTAGATTACAGTATCGATGATAAGAGTGAACAAACTAAGAGCAAACCAAAAGCAGCCACCCACAAAAAAGAATGCACATTAGACGAAAGAGTTCAAGATTTAATTAAATTAATTTTCGATGTAAAGATGATGAAAAGAACAATGGCCGAAGCTAAGGTCGATCTCAAAAAGATGCCACTTGGTAAATTATCAAAAACTCAAATCACTAAAGGCTATATGGTATTAAAAGAAATTGAAGAGGTTCTCTTGGGTAAAAGCAAAGATAATTTAGTTAGTCTTTCATCAAAATTCTATACTGCCATCCCACATGTATCCGATAATGTTATGCAACCACCACCAACTATTAATTCCCACCAAATGCTCCTTGCAAAAATGACTATGCTTCAAAATCTTGCTGATATTGAAATTGCTACAACACTTATCAAAGAAGCCGAAAGTGATGATTCAAATATTTTAGAGTCACATTACAAGAATCTTAAGACTGAAATTATTCCATTAGATAGACATACTACCGAGTTTAAAGATATCGAAACCTATGTTATTAACACTTATAAAGGAAAAACCCCAGAGATTATTAATGTTTTCAAGATTGACCGTGAAGGCGAGGCTGATCGTTTCAAGAAATCTCTTCACCTTGGTAATAGAAAACTCTTATGGCATGGTTCTCGTTTAACTAATTTCGTTGGTATTATTTCTCAAGGTTTAAGAATTGCACCACCAGAGGCTCCAGTTAGTGGTTATCGTTTTGGTAAAGGTATTTATTTTGCAGATATTATGTCATTATCAGCCAACTATTGCCGTACTAGCGGTTCAAATGATTTTTGTATGTTACTTGGTGATGTTACCCTTGGTAAAACTGCTGATTTATATAGAGATCAATATATGGAAAAACCAATCAATGGAACAAACTCAACTCTTGCTTTGGGTTCAATCGAACCAGATCCAAAGAATGTACACTCTCACACAGATGGTTATACTATTCCATATGGTAAAATTGTCGACTCTCCATATAAAAACAAACAAGTTTCATGTTTGGAACATCAATATATTGTATATTCTGTAGATCAAGTTCAATTAAAATATCTTTTACAATTAAAATATTAATAATAAAGCAATAATAAATTTTTTTTTTCGTTTACAAAAACTCTTTTGGTTTACAAAGATTATTTTTAAAAAAATTTTAATATTAAAAAAAAGGTGTATATTTTCTATTTTTAAAGAAATTATTTTTTAAAGTGAAAGAACACCAGTTTTTTTTTTCTTTTTACTAAAAGAATAAAATAGAACGAATCAATTTATAAAGAAAATAAATATAAATCTGTAAAATAAAGAATCAATAAAAATATTTACCCCAAAATATAAAAAAATTATAATAATTTTTTAAAAGTAGAAAAAAAAAAAAATTAATTAAAATGGAATAAAGAAAAAAACAAATAATCTTTAATAATAAAGTTTTTAAAATACTAATTATTATAATAATTTAAATTTAATAATATTTATTAATTATTTTACATCCTCGATCCCGAGGATCAAAGTAATAGTCTTTATTTTTTAAGCAAAAAAAAAAAAAATAAAAAAAAAAAAAATTTTATTTAATTAAAATTTTGGTAAAAAAATTGGATAGATAGAAAGATAAATAAATAAGATAAATCAAAAGTTATATTTAATATTCAAAAAAAGAAAAATAATTTTTTTTTTAAAAAAATTATTTTTATAATATTATTTATTGTTTGTCTTATTTTTTTTGTTTTTGTTTTTATATAACAATAATTTTTAATATTATTATTATTATTATTATTATTATTATTATTATTATTATTATTATTATTATTATTATTATTATTATTATTATTATTATTATTATTATTAGAACCATACAGTATACAAATGTTTACTTGGTTTTGTAATGTTATTTCTTATTTGTTCTCTAAGAATGTCTAAAAGTAAATCTTTTGGTTGGAGGATTGAACCTGTTCCTCCTCTTTTTTGAATTTCCACTAGTATTTCTGGCTTACTTAATTTTGAAATTGGTTTGCTATCAATACGGAATTCATCATTACTCTTGAGGTATTTTACTTTTCTGCCTTTTAATGCACATGAAACTTGATTAAATGATAAATCTAATTCCTTGGCGATGAATCTGTATGAGTCGTTATTGAAAAGATTGTTCTTTAGTAAAATTTCCCAATAAAAATCCAATCTTTTTCTTTGATATGGTTTGAAGACAAAGTTATGGGTAGTGGTTTCTTCATAATCGATTGGAGGCATCTTATTTTTTGCAGTTAATTCTCTTGTAATATCTTCGAGGGTTAGTTTTAGTTTAGGATCATAAGTTAAATTGTCAAAGTCTAAATCGAAATCTAGTTTTAAACTTTTATTTGAATTATAGCTTTTGACACTTTCACTTTTACTGACACCACTAACACAACTGCTACCACTAATGCTACTATCATCGTCTTCATCGTCCTCATCGTCTCCATCGTCTTTACCGACTAAAAATAAATCTGGGGTGATTGGTACAATTTCATTAGGTTGAACCGCCTCTAAATCGAAAGCAAGATCCATTAAAGTGTACTCTGATTCCTTTTGTACCTTTAAATATTTCTTTCTTTTTTCAAATCTAATGTTGTGCATTTCGATATTTGATTGGAGAATCGAGTTTGTAACCTCGATTTCATTTTCATTGTAAACAGGATCTTCTGATACTGGTCCGATGGGTTGGTTCTCTACCAATCTAGGAAGGATTGGAGTAACAGGTATAAAAGTATCCTTTGAAACTCGATCTAATTGGATTGGTTCTTTGTCATTTTCAATATTTGCATCACGACCTGGGCCATAAGAAATACCATTAATAATAAATGTTGGTGGATAAGAGTTTCTGTATTGTTTAAAGTTGAGATGATACTTCAAACCTTCTTTTCTTAATTTCTTATTTATTGAATCACCTTCAGTGGTAGGTTTTGGATTTAAATCTAAATTTAAATATCTATTGTTACGATTTTGTCTTAAAACTTTATCTTTTGCATTTATTTTTGATCTGTTAATATTTCTATCTGAACTCTTCCACTTTTCGATACGCTTAACTTTGATTAATTTTTCCTCTTCTTCAATGTAGCTAGTATCATATTTTTTTGATTTTTTAGTTGGTTTTGAATTTCTGGTCTTTTTTTTAATTTCTTGACTTGCACCATATCTTTCGAACCTTGCACTATTTCTAGTTATAATTCTTTTTGGTGGAGGTGATGGTTCTTCTTCTTCTTCTTCTTCAGTATCTCTGTTCGTTTCTTCTTCGCCAATTTCATCTTGTTCAATACTTTCCAACATATTAATATCAATTTCAATATCTCTGATATTATTGTCATAAATAATATTGCTATTATCATTAATAATATTGTTATTATCATCAATAATATTGCTATTATCATAAATAACATTGTTATTATCATAAATAATATTGGAATTATCATAGACGTGGTTACTATCAATATTATTACTATTAGCTATATATTGGTCTAATGCTAATATATCTGGATCTGTTTCATTTAAATCGTTGTTATTATTATCACTGTTATTATTATTAAAAAGAATATTTGAAAGATCAAAATTGTTATTTAATAAGATTGATGGAATTCTTAAATCATCGACCATTTGATTTTGAGAAAAATAACTTGGATCAAGGATTTCCGGTGATTGGTTTTCAATTGAAGCTTGAATAATATTTGGTATTTGTGATTCTGGAACTGATGAGTTTTCAATATCACTCTTTATTTGATCTTTTATTTCTTGTAAACTAAGCTGGATATTAATAATTGATTTGTTTATTAAATCTCCAATATAGTCGTATTTAAATTCATTAAAACTTGAATAAATTGGATCTTTAATACCTCTTAAACCTGCAAAATATAAATTTGAAAATAAAACTCTAATAGATTGATCATAATCCAAAACATTGAGTTTCTTTGTTGTTGAGTATTGAACATGTGGATAACTAAAGAATTGATTGTTATTTTGAATATCGTTGTTTGAGGTGGATTCTTCAATTATAGATTTACCATTGACCTTATTGAATGGAGTAAACTTGTTTAGAGTTGCTTTCATTTTTCTTTGAAATTTTGTCATGATTTCATGTGGACTTTTGTTATCGACTTCTTCAAAACCCCTGAGATATACGAAAATATTAGAGTTTGTTGATTCTGGATTAACATGGTCACTATAATCGGAATGATCAGAGATTGGATGCTTTAAACTGATTTGGCAATTTGGATGTTTACCGTGTGAACATTGGTCATAAAAATTTTTAGACTTTGCATTTCCTTCGTTTACAATTGAGTTTCTAGTTAATCTTAAATATGAAAAAAGATCTTCAACGAAATCAACTTGTTCATTTAAAGTTAATTCATTTGGGAGTGGTCCAAAATGATCGGTTGGTTTTATTAATTTAACCTTTGAACGATAAGTAGAGTTGAGACTAGAGATCTCATTTTTTAAAAGATTGATTGTTGAATCAAAGTATAAAATTGATTCATTTGTCATTTTAATATTATTATTATTACTATTTTTGTTGTTATATAACTATTATTATTGAATATAAACACTATAAAATTATAATTTATTATTTATATATTATCAAAATGGTTTTTTCTATGCAATGAATTAAAAAAAAAAAAAAAAAAACAAATTTATGAATAATATTGATTTAAAAAAAAAAAATAAAAAATAAAAAAACCCAAAGGTGTGGGGGCTACTAAAAAAGGATTGTAATAATAAAATGAAAAAATGATAAAATAAGCAATCTAATTACAGATATAAATTTCAAATTAAATCAAGTAAAAATAATTTTGTTTTTAAAAAAGGCAATTTAAAAATGTGACAAATATCACAAATTATTTCTTTTACTAAAATTTAATTAATAAATTATTAAAATCTAAAGAGAAGAAAAAAAAAAAAAAAAAAAAAAAAAAAAAAAAAAAAAGGTTAATATTAATATCATTTTTTTGAATTCAAAAAAAAATAAAAAAAATTATTTAATTATATAAAAAATAAAATATATGTAAAAAACGAATAACACAAAAAATCATCTTTTTTTTTTTTCTTTTTTAATTTTTTTTTTTTTTTTTTTGTAAAAAAATTTTCGTTTTAGCATAGAATCTGCGACAATAAAAAAAAAAAACGAAAACTATTAAAAAAATATGATTTAGCGTTCGTTGTGTGCATACACACATATTTAAATAATATTATATATTGGGTCTTATTTTTTAGAGATTTGATTAAATCTTAAAATAGCAAATTAAAATGAAATTATTTTTAGATTGGAAAAAAATAAAAATTGGAAGAATGGTGATTTAACAATTTTAAATTTTAAAATAAATTAAAAATAAATAAAAATTTTAAAATTAAATTGATGATAATCATCAAATAAATAAAAATATTTATATGATTATATTTTTTTTTTTTTTTTTTTTTTTATTTTTGCCAATTAAGGCTTTATTAGTTAAAAAATTGAAATAATGAGAGCGATAATGATAAAGAAAAGATAATAATGGCAATGATAATGATAATGATAATGATGATAATGATGATAATGATGATAAATATTAAAAAATTTAAATAAATAAAAAAACAAATAATTATAATTTTATAATAAAAATATTATTTGAAATATACTTTTAATTTATTACTTATCCCAAAGGAGGCTGAATAATAAAATGCTATGAAATTTATTTTTAATAGGTTTTTATAATTCAAAATAAAAAAAAAGAAAATAAAAAAAAAAAAAAAAAAAAGAAAAAAAAATTTTAACCAATAATTTTAAAAAAAATCGTGATGCTCTATTATATTATCAATGAAATTCGACTATTTACTCGTCTTTACGTTAGTTATATAATATTATTAAAAAAATTAATGTATTATTAAACTAATTTAAAAGAATTTTTTTATTTTTTTTTTTATTTTTTTTCTTTCTTTTTTGTTAAAAGTTATACGGTCCAAGACTTAACC